GTTGGAACTTCTTTATTAACTGCTGCATTACAGGTAATATATATTAAATACCGATAACCTCCCTAAATGACCATTTTGGGATTAGAATAAAACATATGTTCAGTGTGGTATACATTTGTGGAACAATTTTATAAGCAATATTAGAAAACGGGATTGATCCTTTGATTCATTCAGAGAGGTTATCTGTATATTGAGAAATATGGAATTTATTGGTCGAAATCTATTATTTTTTTTCTATCGTACTTTTATAGGCCTTACACGATGGATATCAAAGAATCCCATCCTGTAATAATTTCTTTCATCACGGATCTTTACATAGATTTGAGGCCCTTATCATCTGCTCCTTACGAAACCTTTACACAACTGCCAAATATGGATCATGTTCAGTTGCAGGTAAGGCTTAAGATGTAACAAGAGCTTAGAGTGTCCACTTGTCAATTTATTATTATTATTATTAATAATACCATATTTTATAGAAATTTGAAACGTCTTTAAGTCAAGCAACCGAAAGTAAAGTTCGTAAAAAAAATTGTTAGAGGAATAACAGGAGTATGTTTTAATATGATTTTATCATCCTTTTATTTTTTAATTAGAAATATGTTAACATTAATTTGTTATTTATAACAGCTTTCCACAGAGGAATGATTCAAATACCTGATACAGCACCTGTGAGTTCAACGCGTAGGACTGTTTCTGGTGTTTATTCAAAGCCTGTAATTGGCGTTTTAGACGTAGTTGAGGATCCTTACTATGTTGGAATTCATGAATGTCCGATATTAGCGTAAACAAAAATTGTGCAACTTGTATATATTGCATAAAAGTGGTTTTTTTATGATAATATCTAAATAGAAAAGCAAGTTGGCATTTGGATAGCTATAATTTGACTTTCTCAATTGTAATATAACAAGATATATTAGTTTGTCTTCGATGTGCATTCTAGTTATTTAGAAAGAATTTGAATTAAATTATATCCAATATTGGAATTAGACCGTTTGAAGTTAATTTTTCGGTTAACATCACCCCTCCCCTTTGATCCCCCGGTAAGATGAACATAATAACGTGCTGGGGTGTGGTTTTGAATTTCGGCCTAAATTAAGCTTAATTCAGGCTGAAATTCGAAATAACTCCCTATGCGCTATTTCGTGGTTATACGGCAAATATAAAATGTGACGGCTGATGCTGATTTTGGCTGATGTTGAAGATCATGGTCCGGAAATTGCAGATCGGAAAATTTCAAGACAAACAAATCGGTTATAACTCAAAAATCTGCATAAGAAACAACCTTTAGTGTTCTAACAAAAAGCTTTCCTTGAACAATTTTGCTAATACATCTACTAACATTTGACGATATTGTAATCAATAACCCTAACTTAAACAAAGATAAGTTCAATGACTACATCATCAAAAACCACATGACCAATAAATAAATTCTTTAATTGCTGATCCGGCTAAGATCGGCACTATTTACTATATTAATTTATTATAAATGTGAGAGATAAGTTTCATAATAAAACTCAAATACACGTTTGAATCTGAACACCTTGTTTTTAAAATGACAAAAAAAATATGTCAAATGGCTACTACACTTGTAGAAACTGGTATTATTAATGAAATTTATCATTATGGACCTTTCTCACGATATTGGTGGCGAGAAAATCCTACAAATAAAAAAAACCATCCATTTTTTCCAATTCGTATTGGACAAAAAACTATTACTATTCTTAACAAACAGAAATTTATAGTTACAGTAGTTGCTGGCAATTCTATTACTTCCTTTTTACCTGGTTATCAATGCTCTTGTAATGATATTTTGTCAGAAATAGTTGCTGATCCAACTACGGCTATTTCTACAGTATATAAAAATTTATTCAAAACTAAAACACGTTATTCAGGACCTCTTGTAATTGGCTGGTCTAATGAAAAAATTATATCCCAACTTTTATTTGATATTAAATTTTGTCTATTTTCATTTTTTTTAAATAACAAAAATGAAATTTTTGTATTTAGAATTGGTTCATCATCATGTAAAGAGCTAAAAAAAGGTGGATCTGATTATAAGTCATCATTAATTTGTGAATATTATTCTAAAAAAACATTATTTGTTTCAATTATAGATGATTTTAATTGTTCTCTTGAAATATATCAAGATTTTCAATTGATAAAACAAATTAAAGGTCGAACACCTGATGAAGTTTGGCATCCAATTAGAATAAAAAATTTTAATGGTACACAACTTTTCGGTTTAGAAAACCCTACAACTCAATTATATCTTCAACAACAACATGTTCCTACATGTACTCCTATTGATTGGTATAATTATAATCTAATGGAAACACTTTTTAATTATCATCTCAAACGGAGAACAATTGCAAATATTACATGGTATCAGTTTTTTATTAATTGGGCTAAAAACGAAAGCAAGATAATAGAGTTAGTTACTAGCTTACAAGAAATCTATCCAGCACATTATCATTTTAATAAAAGAGAATTTAATGCTTGGCAAGCTTTAATTTGGGCTGCTGGTGGACATAATATAACACCATGGTCACACGATGAATCAGAGGTTTGAATATTTACTATTTAAAAAATTTTTATTCGAATTATAGCAATATTAATTTTTATCAGTTTCAGATTTGGACACACACTAATCCACCAAACAAAGATAAAGAAATAATGCAAACCTTGTTTAAAATAGAATTTTTAATACCAGTTCCAAAATATATACCTAATAGTACACAAACATTTTGGACATGTTTTCAATGTGCACTTTCTAATAATAAAAAAATCCAGATAGCAAAAGGCATATACTTTCAATTATTGCAAATGATTTTACATATTCTGAATTAGAGTCTAATTTAAATGTAAGAAAGTTTAAATTAATTATAAAATTAGCATTAATAAATATTAACAAATTTTAATTTAATTTATAATAATAAGGTTGGACGACATACAATTTATGAATCTCGAAAACATGCAATAATTAATGGATATGGTGCACCTCCACTTTCCAAACCAATTAGTCATCGTGTTCAATTTTTACAAGAAAGTTTAATACAATTTGATCAATTTTTTATACATAAAAATAATATTTCACAAAGTAGTTACAAGACTGATACTTTAACTGGCTTGCCTGTAGTATATTTGCGTGATACAAAAAAAGGTTTGTGGGAAAAGTTTCATGAAGAATTTCCAAATGGAATGAAACGTACAGCATTTATGACACGTTTAGAAAGTGGGCGATTTTTATATAGAGAAAATATGGATGGACTTTGTAATACATGTAATGAATGTGGTTATGAAGTATTTGATGATATTAGATCATTGATTGATAAAGATATAACAAATATAACTGATAAGGTATAGCTATATATAATTTCATTTTTTTTCTATATTTTGTTTAATCACTTAATTTACATTAATATATAGTATAAATTAACTATTTAAAAAACAGAAAGAATTAATTGAAAAAATAGAATATTTGCAACAATATTTGCGAAAAGATTATGCTAAAGCTCTTTTGGTAAACAAGCAAGGTGTTCTGATTCACAATTTGTGTATTAGTTATTGTCTTGTCTATGGATTTGGAAATTGTAATCATTTACATCCTAATATATATGACAAATGTAAAAATCTTTTTGAATTTTTTAATCAATTACAAAAAGAATTATCAAAATCGCTTAATAGCCTTTATAGCTCATCATGCACGTAGAACTTACTTGAATGCACAACTAGCTG